GGTTTTTGTTAAATTGTGTATTTATAAAACTAAACATTTTTATTTAATTTAAAAGTATTACAAATATCAAAAAATAAATTTTGTTGCAAAACTATAATATTTGAAATAATTTTACCGTTTTTTTCTTGGTTTAATTAAATAAATAATTTTGATTTCTTTTCAATGACAATTACAAAACTAATAGAAAACTTAGGTCCGGTTTACAGAACGTGTTAATCGCAATTATATTTTAATTCGCAATTAACTTGACGTTTGTCAATGCAAAATAAATGTCAACTTAATTGGAATTAGCATAATTCTGAAGTAAATTTTAATTTCGCTTTATGCTCAAAGAATTAAACCACTCGCGGTAAAGGCACACGTGGAATTAAACCTTCTTCTCGCAAATAAACAATGGTTTAATTCATTTGTTGTTTTACATAAAATCAAGTTTAAAATAGAGAAAGTCTATTTCGTTCAAAAATTATGTTAATTAATTTTATTTTGCAAAAACAGTTAAAAAAATATTAAGTGATAATGATTTGTTTTTTGTCAATGTTATTATTAATGCATAAAGAAATGCAGAAATGCATTAAGAAATGGTTTGTTAAATTTTTTATTAAAAAAAATTAATATTTCCATTTAATTAATTTGACGTGTGTCAATGCAAAATAAATGGCAACTTAATTCGAATTAGTTTAATTTTGAATTAAATTTTCATTTCGCTTTCTGTAAACCGGCTCCTAAAGGAATTTTTCTTGAAACTACGTCAAGTTTGCAATCCGATAATTTACGACCATGCTTCCTTGCGGCATCCAGCGGGGGCTGGTTTATTGAGGCGTCATTTTCATTTTGTTCGACTGTACGTTTTTGTCAAAAAAACAACTTATTTCAAAAACTAAGCAAAACCGACAAATAAAAGTTTGGCTTCGTAAAAACATTGTAATGAAAAGCTACATCCGAATAAATATGCTAACAAACACATGGTGTTTCATTTAAAAAACCTAAGTTTGTATTGTAACTCTTTTGGGACACGCTGTATAACTCAAAATAATTTCAAGCGTTGCACTAGATTAGTATCAATTTCCGATATATTTTTTTAAATTTTATATAAAGTTCAATGATGGACTTTACCAACTTGCTGAGACACCCTGTTTAAGTTAGAGTACAGTTCATTCGACGCTTTTAGGACACGCCATATAATATGTAATAAAAAATAAAGTTATTTTTCAATTATTCTTAGGACCAGTTTCATATTCAAATTAAAGAAGCTTCAAATTAAATGTTGTTTAAAATGTACAGATTTAACAAAGTAAACCACATTAACTTTAAAGTGTCTTTAAGTTTCTCAGCATTTCTTGTTGTCTAGAACGATTTGAATTCTTTCCACTGTAGTTACATAAATAAATCCTTATTAGCATACTGTTTATTTGGTTTGCGACCGGGTCAACTAATGCCTTACATAATTTTGAGGTGAAAAAATCGAAATTTTCTTCGAAAGTGTACTACTAGTTGACTACAAACAGGGATATCATTGCGTTACCATTCCTGAAATGTTAGTTTCAATACTAATGACTATGTTAATAATGAGTTGTTTACAATAATTTCGCAAAATAAAAAAAATACAAAGCAGCTAATAATGCGTTTGAGATGATGAAATTAGAAATCCTATGTAGTCAGATTCGTTTGTAATTATTATTGTATTAAATGGGTTTGCTTTTGATTTTACCACTAAAGAAAGGAAGTACTGATGTGAAAACTAATAATTGCACTCATTTTCTAAAGGATATGAGAATTGGGAAGATTAAAATTGGACAGTTGAGGAAGTACCTTTTAAAAACACGTTATCATCAAATGTAATGGTAGCTGAACTGTAACATAACAATTAATTGTAAATTGCTAATAAATATAAAATTATGTCTAAGTTATAATCGATTTTTTTAATCTTGTTCTTGTGATAATTTTACTCCATATTCAAGGAATATCAAGTTTGTAAATTGAAAGCGTCCTGAAATCATTCTTTATAATTATCTTCTATTTTTATTAATTACTAAACTGATTGATGTAATTAATTAAATATTATGATACTTTCAATAACACCTACTGAAGAACCGGTTGGAACTACCGCCTATTTATATCACAATAGGCATTTAGTAGTTACGTCATCTTTTAAAATGTTTATTATTTATTACTAAAATTTGCACATATTGTCAGCGAGTAATAATAAGTGGGATTAGGAGAATTGCGACAACAATTGCTTGATTAAAAATTAATATGACCCAGAATAGTTAACCTAAAGCAGTGAACCGAAAAGTTATTAAATCTGAACAAGTAACAGAAGTTTTTCTTATTGAAATGAAACATTCTGTTCATTTAGATTTATATAAAATAGTTCATAAAGTGTAAAATTATAATGACTAACCAAGATTTGAAATTACTCGAGTCATTTAATTATCCAATAGAGGTGCAACGTGACTGGTTTTAATTGACACCTCAAAGTTTGCTGGGTTGGACTGTATACAGGGTGTTTAAGTTTTGTTAAAAATAAATAAAAAAGCGTCGGATAATTATTAATGGAACACTGTATACTATATTTTCCTTTAAACATTCTCTATGTTTACCTACTTTAAAAAAATATGGTGTGAACATCACACGATTTTCCTTATTCTA